TCTATGTTTGTTTTTTGTTTTGTTTTTAAGAAAAAGGGTCTCTCTAAGTAGCTGAGGTTTGCCTTGAACCCGAGGCTGCTTCAGCCCTTGGATACTTGGAATAAAGAGGGATTCCCCTCTGTATTCTGTGAATATGTTTTAGTACCATTTTTTAAATTAAGAAGGTGATTTGGCCAATAGCCAGGCAGCATAGAACCAGGCAGGAAATCCAAGCAGAGAGACAGGGAGAAAGAAGGCAGAGTCAGGGAGACGCCAGCAGCTGCTTCTGGAGAAGCAAGATGTGAGGTAACGAGCCACAAGCTTCGTGGTTAAAGTAGAGTAATAGAAATAGGTTAATTTATTTGTAAGAGCTAGTTAATAATAAGCCTGAGCCTAATAGTCCACAAAAACAGAGCGTTATGGTGCTGGGGGCAAGACTGAAACCTCCAGTTACAGACATGTATGCCTTCATACCTGGCTCTGTGGGTGGTGTTTTATGTGCGTATGAACTTACTGCAGGACGCATAGGGCTCTACATCAGACCAAACACAGATCCCTTTCGGGTCCCTGCCAGGCAGCGCTCAGTAGGTCTGCATTCCAGCCCTCACAATGCCTGTCCAGTTCCCTTCTGTGTTGTAGTTTTGACATGAATGCGTTCTGGGTTTCTGAAGGAAATGAACTGGTTCTGCATTCAGATCCACACTCGCAGGTTTCAGAGCCTTGGTGCTGGGGGAATGCTGTCTTGTTCTGTTGGTGGAAGTCGGTGTTTCCTTCCATGGTTTCTAGGGCTTCCATCAATTGCCACAAACGTGATGGCTTAAAAGACAGAAATGTATCCCAAGTCCAAGACTGAGGTGTCAGTAGGGCCACCCACCTAGTTCCCATTTCCAAGCGTCTAGACATCTCCTGACTATGGCTCTAAAGTCACGTGATCTCTCCTGCCATTGCCCGTGTGAGCACGCCTGCTGGATTGAGGCCCACCCGGATAATCAAAGGTGATCTCATCCTGAGATCCTTTAATATTTGGGGACCCCTTTCCCAAATGAGACCACACTCACAAGTTCTGGGAATTGGGATCCAGGCCTACTTTTTGGGTGGTCAGTGCTCTACCCTCTGTCCTTTCTATGTTCCCCGTTTATGACTGGTCACCTGTACCCAGGTTTTTATAATTTTTGTACGGCTGTGGTGAGATCAAACCAGCTTGCACTTCACTCCCCGATGGCCGAAGCCACGTAGAGCAGACCTGGCGCTGTGTGTCTGTGAAGGGGCTGATGCTCTGTCCTCTGAGATGAACACCCCTGGTCCTTCCAGCCTTGCTCTCAGCTGGCTGGCCTTCTCCTGATCAGTCATCCTGGGTGTGCCTCTGAAGGACACAGAGAAGGGAGAATGCTGCATTTATCCCTGACGACCGAGAAATGAGGTCATGTCTCTTCCACTTGCTAAATAGGTGACCAAGACATGGGTTTCTTTGAAATAATGGTGACACTGTTGCAAAGTCAAGTGGTTGTCACTTGCACATCCATCCCCAGGCTTAGCCTTGCTGCTAATCCCCCTGGGGTCACATTAGCATCTGGGGAGTCCTGTCACAAGTTTGCCCTCATTTTGAAATGACTGTCTAATGAGCTCCAGGTCATTTTCACATATGATCTGTTCCTTTAATTCAAAAAATATTTGTTTGGTGTCTATTAGTGAAGGCAAAAGAAGAGCAAAATCAAACCTATCTCTAAGATGTCCACCCCTTATATAAGCTCATGCCTATAATCTTAATACTCAGGAGGCTGATCAGGAGGATTGCTATGAGTTTGAGGCCAGCCTGAGCTACGTAGTAAGTTTTAGGTCAGTTTTTCAGCCAAAGAGCCAGTGTCTATCCTGTGAGAGCTAGCCGTGAACTAAGAGACATGGATTAACCAAAATTACAAACCGAGGTGACTGGGGAAAGGCTGGGCTAGGATGATTTGATCCCTCAAAGTGGTGAGACCAGACGTAGGGGACAAAGTTAGGCTTGCATAGCTATGCTCCCGTACTGAAGCCTCCTCCTCCTCCTCCACTGGGCCGCAGTGGCAATGACCTCAGATGGACAAATTCCACACATGCTGTGTTCATTGCTTTCTGCTCCCATGATTTTTCACTGTGTGCAGTAGGTGCAGACCTAACAGAACTTGGAAGTGCATATAAGTTGTAAAATTAATATTGGCTATTTAGTTGTGTGTGGTATCAATAATTCACATTGAATGTATTAATAGTAAGTATTGCTTTGTGGTACAGTTTTTTAATGCTATCCTCTCCTTTCTGTTTTTTGTTTGTTTGGTTGGGTTTTTTTAAGGCAAGTCTTGCTATGTAGTCCATGCTGACCTTGAACTTGCAACCGTCCTAGCACACCTGGGTACACAGGTGTGCTCCACCACACTGGCTGTGATATCCCCCATAATAAAAGTCCTTTGGTGCTGTTAAGGGTGCTTTTCTGATTGTGTGGCTCAGTTCCTATCTAAGCAGTCCTGCCTCACAAATTTAATTGGGGTAGAAATCCCTTTGGTTCCTATCTTATGCCCTGATGGTGACGGGCTTGGTGGTTCTCCGTGGATGTCACACTTCTAGGTTGCTGAGGAGGTTCAGAAACCCATGTGCCTCGGCAGCAGGAGTCGACCGTGACAGTTATAAACACGGTGTTCCGTGTGAAGTGACCTGCTAAGAGTGTAGAAGGAGAATGAAACATGAACTCGTTCGTTCTCCGAGTCCCCCTGCTCCAACCTTCGGCTCTAGTCACTCTGGCTTTTTCGTGTCACACACATACCCGTGGATCTTCCACAGAGTCCCAGAGCAGTCTTAATAAAGTCAAATGCTGTGAGACGCAGCTTTCACAAACGTAGAACTTTGGTTCTCAGCATGCGCTGAGCTCAGTTCACTCTAATGTGTATGAGTTTCTGGATTTATAACTTGAAAGCAGAGATGGATAACTTTGGGTTGGGAGTCCTCTTCCGAGAGTCTACCCGCGTGGGGAAGCTCATAGAAAACCCTACAGCGAAGAGTTTCCTCTAAAGACCTCATTGTTATGTCTACAAATAGGGAGTTTCCTTGCACCCTAGACTGTGTGTGAAGCGTTCCCAGGCACCTTGCAGAAACGAAACTAACAACACTGGTGTCGCCTTGCTCATCCTGCCTTCGCTGTCATTTTTATCCCTCTCTCCTGGGGATCCTCACACATCCTAGTTCCTGTTTTACTGTTGCAGTTAAATGCCAAGTGCCGCGCTCTTGATGGGTGTCTAAAACATTTGGTTTCCTTTAGTCCAGTTTTAGTTCACGACCTTCTCACTCCCCAGTGCCTATGATTTTACAGAACACCAGATTTACCTTTTAGAGCCTATGAAACCATAACTCTTGAGAATGTAATAGCAAGCTTTTACATTGCGCTTCCTTCTTTTATTTTACGTGAAAATATTATCCCTTCCAGGCTTTTTTTTTAAATGCTTTTTTTCTTTAGGCAGTTGGGACAATCAAAGCGAAAGTTAGTAATTACTCCCTTCGTTTCACTGTGGTCCTGTTATTCTTGAGAGGACTCCAAATTGCACAACCAAGCGAGATGTCTTTGGCTTCATGGCTCTGAGTTGTGGTTGGTCTCTTCTTAATTGGTATATATTCATTGTCTGCCATGTTGGGGTTCAGATACATCCTGAACTTTGACCGCATTCATGTCCCTCCTTCCTCTATCCATCCACCCCTTCCCTTCTCCCCTCAGTCTCCTTTCTTCTTTTGTGCTATTCTTCATGGACGACAGATGGACAGAGAGGTGATATTTGTCTTTCTGTGCCTAGATTATCTAATTTAATATAGTGATTTCCTGTCTTAGTCATTCTCCTGAAAGTAGATAATGGTGGCCGAAGAAAGTCCCATTGTGTGCATACACCACACTGTTTATCCATTCATCTGGTTGATCGCGTCAGTGGCTGTTGTGGTGGTGCTGCAGTAAACATGGATGTGGAAGCATGTCTGTGGTGTGCTGGCTTAACAGTGGTCAGATATGTACCCAGAATGGCGTTGCACATGTAGTTTCTTGAGATCCTCCATAGTCCCATAGTGGCTAGAGCGTTTGTGGTCCTATCAGCCATGTAGAAAAATGGGCTAATAAACAGGTAGTCTCAAAAATGATTTAGAAATGGCTAATAGACGTTTAAGACAATGCCAAACACCCTTGGCCATTGGGGCAATACAAATTCAAACCACTGAGTTTTCATTGGATAGCATGGCTGCTGTTAAGAACAAACAGCAAGTACTGGTGCCTGATCTTTCTGCGGGGAACTCTGTTTCAGATCATCACACTTAGGCTTTATCTTGAGAGCCAGGAAGGGAGAGCAAACAGCTGTAAGTGCATTGACTTCCTAATGTGCACAGGGAAGAAAGGGACCTCATGAGAGAAAGACTTTCCTTCAAATACCACCCCATCTTGAGCTCCCAAGCCCATGCCTCGTTGCCTCCGTGAGGCGGGTCACAATGTACATTCATCCCTGAGAGCTCATGGCATGAATACATTACCACGCCCACATCGATTCCAAATAGCTGGCCTTGCAAAAGGGATGCATTTTAGATAAACTTGGCCTCATCCTTGGCATTAATTTTGACTGGACACCTTAAGAGAAACAACCTTGTATATTGCTCTTAAGTTTGATGTTTCCCCTTAATCTTCCTTTCCCATTTAGCTCTGGAAATTGAAATGTCAAGGCCAAGGTATTTATTATAGGAAGAATACCTGGAGGATCTGTGTCGTGGGCTGATGCGATCCTGGCCCTTAACAGGAAGCAGAGGCTCAGCTCCCTGGAGGTGTGGGTCACTGGTGTCCGCATCCCTGTTTTGTGGTCAGCTGTTGTCCCTTACAACAGTAGTAGATTGCAGCGATCACATGCAAGTCCGCGGTTAAGTTCAATCACAAAATGTTTGTGCTGCGCCTGCGAAACTTCTGCTTCTATCAGCAGTGTGCAGGTCGTTGTACCCGTTCTGGAGAATTTCTCATCCTTGTTTACCTTCCTTAGGTTTCCCCTGTATCCAAAGGGAGGGGAGAAGTTGCAGTTTGATTACGGCGTCTACCTTCTGAACAAGAACATAGCCCAGGTAAGTGACCTCTCATTTCTCTGGCTCCATCACCCACCTCAGCCAACAGTTACAGGGCAGTGCTGTTTGTCTGCCATTGTCTTACTCTGTGATGTTAGCCTGAGTTCGGAGACTCTGTGGGTCTGTGTTGGAATCCATCTCTGATGGTAGCCTCCCTTTTCTAAGTTCCTCCTGGAAGGCCTGGGCTTGAATGTGTGGTCTGAATAATCCCTTGGCTCTGCTGCTTGATTGCTAATAGCTTTCTCCTCTTAGACCACTTCTGGGGACTCGTTTTGTGTTATTGTTTATGAAGTAAAAGTTTAGTGCTTTTGGCAAGTCCGTAATGGTCTCCTCACCTCATTATCCGGGGCCCGAAGGGAAAGACCAAGCCTATGTTCTTTCCAACCCATCTTGGATTCTTGTGGCTGCCTCAGCGTCCCATTGCGTTGTGTCTGTCCACGGACCATAGGACGGGCACCAGATGCCTGAGTCTGTGTTTTCCTGAAAGCAATCCATAGCATTTCTTTAGTGCAGTTGGCTCTACGTCAAGAGGTCGGCGTTCCACGAATTTTCCAGCTGCAGAGGGAGGCCTGCTTGGGTGCTCTCCTTGCCTTTGGACACCATCGGATTGCAGCACCATGTGGTGGTGTAGCCACAGTTCACTCTTCCTTAAAGACATTGTCAGCTGGGCCCTCAGACCTTTGCATTTTACAGAAGTAATAAGCTTTGCGATGCTTCGCTTTTACGAGCCTCAGTGGCCTTTCCTCCATATGAGTCTAAAAGCCGATCAGACTGGAATTATTCTTCCATATGTGTTATCTTCGTTTTCCTTCCCCACAACAACTTGAGTTTAATGTTGGGTTTTTGAAATGTGCTTTTTATGAAGATCGTTATCCCTGTCTGAAATTGGATCCCGTTTCTAGTTTGCCACACTGCATTAACCACTTGCTTCCTAGCCCAGGCTCCACACACCCGGGATCACACCGCCTTCACCCTCACCTTCGTGCTAGGGCCACACACACAGGCTCTGCCCGTGACTCGCCTTCCTTGGGCCCTTCTTCCCACCACTGATGCTTTTCCTCCCTCCGTTTTCAGCAGAAAGGTATTTCTGTCAAAGAAGCGGAACTTTAGTATCAAGGCTGTCTGGCTCACACATCTGCCATAGTTCTATCGTTCCTGGAAAAGACCGTGCACTGACATGCGGGTCTAGTCCCAAAGCACCACACTAGTGTCACACCAAGGAAGTCGAAGTAAATTAGTAAATAAGCGAATCGGCCAGCTTGTCCAGGGCGCTCAGCTAGAGCGGAGAGAGCGTAAGTACAGAGCTAGCATATGTTACAGAGAGCGTACATACAGAGAGAGGAGAGAGCGTGCACACGGTTTGTCTAGCAGTAAAAGCAGTGATGTTTAGAAGAACAAATTTCTAGTCTGAGTTCAGAAGTTCTCTCCTGCCCTGTGTTTCTGCTGCTGGATTTTGCCCTGTGCATGTAGGCACTAGATTTGTAAGCTTCCAGGTACAGCCTGCCCTACTGCAGCACCGGGATCAAATAAATAAATAAATGCATACATACATACATACATACATAAATATGCTTATCTCTCATCAATATACATCAGCGTCAAACTCTAGACTGCGTGGACATGTCTTGTTCCCAGCAGAAATGGAAAGAGGTATACAGAGACGCTAAGAGTAGCCCAGCTGGAAGGCCAAGTGGAGGCTGCCTGTGTGTGGCGGCGGGAAATGCACAAGTCAGCGCCCTGCTTCAGCTCACAAAGGGAGCGCTTAGGAGCGCTTCCCAAGTAGCCCCTGACTTCCTAACCAAGCCCAGACCACAGTGCGTGTCAACCAATGTTCTCATCTACGTGAGAAGTAGCCTACCTGTGGTGCTCGTGTGGTTAACTGTGTGTTCTTTAGGGGCAGGCAATAGCTTGTCTGCCCTAGGAGATGGTCGCTTGCTCCCTGGTGTCTTCCAGACAGACTTCTGTAGCTTTGAAATATTGTGCAGGAAGCCACTTTTAAGCACACGAAAGAAACTTTTAGTAAATTTGTGGCCCCAAGAAGTTTGGGAAAGTTTCTTTTTGTTTCGACCTTCCTGGCATCACTTCCACGTTCCGATTTGTAATAAAGCTATTAATAACTGTGGTTCGTAAGCCAGTCTCAGCCATCCAGTGTGTGTAGCCTTGGAAGGATTATCTGGATACTGTAGCGCATGTGTCAAAGAAGAATCTGTCTTCTCTGCCAGTCCCGTTTCTACCGCATCTCTAGAGATGTGAACAAGCCCTGCCATTAAGACAGCCCCACCTCTGTGATTTACAGGCCACGTTAGTGGAGGTGGATGAAAGGGCTGGCGTGTGTGAAAGTGCCAGAGAAAAGGAGTGAAGTCATTTAATGCCGCATCCGTACCGTGATTGAGGGTCTGAATAGTCAATAGGACCTTTCACCACAACCAGAAGTCGTAGTAAAACCACTTTTCTGGGGGAGGAAATGACAGAACTTAGTAATATTTGTTACTTCAGGATTTGGGATCCGGCCAGCCCGGGTTCTGAAAGCACAGGCCTTCAAGCAGAACCCTGAAATACCATGGGAAGAGCAGAGAGCCCAGCCAGCCCACTTGCCCTCTGCATGCCACCGCAGTCTGAGGTGTACGTGTGCGAGTAAGTCCAGCACAATGTCTGTGGCAGCAGCAGCCGCTCCCGTCTGTCCAGAGCCAGTGCCCCTCAGTAGCAGATAGACTTCGCTGTTGGGCAGCAGGAGATGCTCAGGCCCAAGTCCTGGATTGCAGCCCGTGCCTGGAATCCTCAGCTAGGGAGACTGAGACAGGAGGATCGCTGTGAACTCCAGAACAGCTTGGACCACATAGTAAGTTCCAGGCCAGCTGGAGCTAGTAACAAATCTAAAAAAAAAAAAAAAAAATCCAAGAACGCTTCAAGTGTAGTATAATTAGCATTAATTATTTTAAAATGGGGTGTCTGTGCCTGGGGGTGTAGCTCAGTTCATGGAGCTCATGCCTAATAAGTTTCAAGGCTCTGCTGGGTTCCACGCCCACTACTACCAAGAAACAAAGATTCTTGCTTCATTCGACTTCTAGTTGTTGAATGGGGAAAGGCATACGGTAAATAAAAGCATTTCAGACTGTAGTGAGTAACGTGCTAGAGATTAATTAAGTAACATAATGCAGAATAACTGGAGAGGGACCTGCTTCTCTCAATAAACTCCTCACTTCATAAAACATAAGGGACCACAGAACAGGGGAACCTTTAGGGGGCGCAGGGAAAGCCTCAGCCTAGTTCTGAACTCACATGGAAACAAGGGACGATGACATTTGTTCTGTTCATTCATACTCTGCTGGTCAGCAGGCTAGGTACAAACGAAGAGAGGACTGGAGGTACCATGTGGGGGATGAACTCATGGGCTGACTACGAGAATTGAGGGAGAAAGAAATTACCAAGAATGGGGTCTGGGTCTTATGTATGAGAAATAATGCTATTTATTTTAAAAGGAGGAGTCCAGAGATGAAGGAAGCAAATCTGCTCTGGGAGTTAAGTCCAGGTTGCTTTTCTAGAAATGGGGATAGGTTCATTAAGAGGACAAAGGGATACATGGGTTGGAATCCATTGCCGTAGTCAGTGCTATGATGGAAATCTGGGGACAGAAACCTGGGTGCATTGTTTAGATCTATGGAACCAGGTGAGGTTAACAGGAACAAGAGAGAGAGCTGAAAAGAGGGGAGGTCACATTTAGAAGCTGATAAAGGGGCTGGAGAGACGGCCCAGCAGTTAAGAAGTTGATGTGGGAGGCACAGGAGCACACGGAAGCGGGAAGTGAACAGGGAAGGATCAGAAGCTAGCAGAAATGCATCCAGTTCCCCTTCCAAACTGGGAGGGCTGTGGGGTTCAGGAAATAACGTGTGGCTGTGCTCGCTTTCATTCAGTTGTATTGGGGAGGTTAAAATCTGGTTTCTGGAACTGTATTTTGGATGTTGCTGTTGGGGGTACATTGAAACAGGGTGGCCTCAAACTCCATGTGTTGCTGGAGATAACCTTGAACCTCTGATTCTCTTCTCCACACTGGGGAGGTAGAGACAGGAGAGAGTTCCAGGCCTGAGCTACAGGGTTAGCTACAGGAGACTCTTCCCCCGTACCCAAACCCCCCCCCCAAAAAAAAAAAACAAATCCAAAAGAAGGTGCTGGAAAAAAGATGCTTCTGGATGACAGAAACAAACGTCTGGTCTCTCCGTGTCTCAGAGGCTTTGAGGACAGCGGCTCCACGTAAGGCAAGGACAGGGAGAAAGCCCAGTTCTTTGTTCACCTGCAGAACACTGGCCAGTGTGGCATAAAGGATAGTGTGTGTTACTGTTCATACCACGCTGTACGAGTGTGAGGACCTCAGAAACCACATAAAAGCCAGCCCAGCGTGGCCACTACCTGTAATCCCAGCAGTCAGGCGGCAGAGGCTAGATCCCCAGCGCAAGCCTCGGGAAATCAAGTGGAAGCTACTGACACCTATAACATCAATTGCAGGTCTCCGCACGTATGTGCGCACTTACACACGTATTCCTTGTATTCCATGCATGTGCCCCTGGAAGCCAGAAAAGGGCATCAGGGTTTTTGGAACTGGAGGTACAAATAGTTATGAGCTGCCATGCGGGTGCTGGGAATCGAACCTGGGTCCTCTGCAAGAGCAGCCAGTGCTCCCAACCGCTGAGCTGTCTTTCCAAAACAAAATAGTTTTTTAAAAAATGCCCATGGTGAGGCAGTAGAGTATGCTGGATATGTAAAATTCCCACGCACCTTCCTGATAGTCTAATGTCACGGGAAGGGGCCCTGCATGGCTCGCTCTGTGTGGCCCAAGGATCACGAGAGTCATTTGAGTCGCCGACTGAACTGACACTTTCTCACGCAGCAGCCTCTGGCATCAGAGAGCGGTCCTTCAGACTTTGGGTATTTGACAAACATTTTCTCAAAAATGAATGAAGTGGGCCTGCCCTTAAAGGAAATGAACTGATGATAAAACTCAAGAT